ACTTTCTCTTAGGCAGCATTCTGCAAGGTGTTGAGCTTAAGTGCATTCAACAGTACTTCTCTTGCCAAGTACCTGAAGTGAAGATATGTTCAGTTCTAAATTAAATGCAGAAGGATCATCTGTTAAGTTGAATCAGGACTTGGCTCCGTGAAAACTGAACTTAATAAAGATGTAAGCCTTCATAGCACATCATTTGAGTTGGAACCTGATATCAGAGTACTTGTCAATAAAGTGAGGATTTTTCTTTGAGCAAGTTGGATGCATTGTTAATACAAAGATAAACAACTAGAGATTCCATGTCATAAGGTATGATTGGATCGTAAGTGTTCTTTGCTCACTAAATAAATAGAATTTAGTCAAATACATTCTGTTACATAATGCAGATTGTAATGTAAGTGACAGGTGAAGAACAATTCTTGTGTCCACATTTTTTGCTATGGCATCCTGTAGGCAAACTTAGTCCTGTGGCTGTACTTTGTTAGGAGACTTTTTTTTTTTAATGCCAGTCCTGAGGCTTGAACTCAGGGCCTGAGTACTACTGTCCCTGAGCAAAATTTTTGCTCAAAGATAGTGCTCTACCACTTGAGCCACAGCTCCACATATATGGCTTTTTGTTGGTTAACTGAATATAAGAATCTCACTGACTTTCCTGCCCAGGTTGACTTTGAACCTTAATCCTCTGCTGCTAAATAGCTAAGATTACAGGCATAAGTCCCAGGTTCCCAGCTATGAAAACTGTTTTAAAACAGTGTGTAAGTAGATATGCCATGAGTAAAAGCATGGTATATAATGGGGCTTACCCTTGTGTGTTTCAGGGTTTTGTCAAGAGAAGACTATGTTATAGACAATGAGTATCATGTAGAACAGATCTGGACTAAGCCCAGGCTTCCCAAGTCTCCACTTGCTGAACTCCAATCCCGTGTGCAAGCAAGAAATAGAGGTTTATGACTGGATGAGTTTTGAGATGATTTCCATGTAGTATGATTGTGGCAACTTTAATAGATACAATGGATATAATGTGGCAAAATGCTAACATTTATTACTATATTGTGATATAATTGACTGGTTATAAATCACTGGGGGAGGGGCTTGACATTTTAAGTGCAGAATCTCATCTCCCCTTGAGAAATAATAACAACATACCAAAGCAGGAATTTGTATCCACTTTGACTATGTTACTGACAGTTACATTTCTAATTCTTTCCATCCTTGAGATTTATGTTCTAAGAGCTCAGTGGTATAAATCCTGGAGGGGATTAAAAATTCTGAGACTGGCTAGCTGCTGGTAGCTCTTACCTATAATCCTACCTATTCAGGAGGCTGAGATCAGCAGATAGAGGCTAAAAAACAGTCCAGGCAGAAAAAAATCCATCAGACTCTTATCTCCAATTAATCACCCAGAACACTCCAAAAACTCAAAAGTAGAACTATGACTCAAGTGGTAGAAGACTAGTCTTGAGCAGCAAAAGCCAAGGAACAGTGTGAGGTCTTGAGTTCAAGTCTTAGTACATGCATACACACACAACATCTGAAATTGTCTGGAATTGCTGAATGGTAATAAAAAGGATACTGAGTTTTAACTGGTGTATTGAATTCTCTATGTATATCCCCTACTGTCTGGACCTAAAGTTAACCATTCCATTATATGACTCCTTTCATGAGCCACAAACAACTCATTATTGTTTAAAACACAGAATTCCAAAATATATTTTTAAAAATAACCTACATAAAACATCCAAGTTAAACATATTAGGTAGAAATTCACTCACTTATTTTATTAATGTTAATATCTTTATAAAGTAACAATAGAAAAAGTAAGGTCTTCACATAAAATATCCAAGTTAAACATATTAACCAATTTTAGTATGGCCTTGTTTGTGATCGTTTGGGTAAATGCCAAAAGTGCAATTGCTGGGTCATAGGGGAGCTCTATGTGGAGTCTTTTGAGGAACCTCTATACTGCTCTCCAAAATGAATTTTACAACTTTGCTGGGGGGTAGGCAGGATTGGGTGTGGGGAAGGGATAGTAGGGGAAATATAAAGGAGGGTGTAACATGCCCGATAGGAAATGAACTCATTACCTTGCTCATGTAACTGTAATCCCTCTGTACAGTATCTTTACAATAAAAAATATATATTAAAAAATTAACCAGAATTATACTCACTTGTTTTATGTTAATAGCTTTATAAAAATCACAACAGAAAAAGTCTTTGAATTATTACTTAATCGAAACCATAACAGAAAATTATCTCAAGTATAAACTAAATTGTCTTTAAATATATTAAGACTACATGAATCCATTGAAAATGTGACTGTCAATGTCCTCTACTTCTTGATTCATTTGTCAGATTGAAGCCATAGACATACATAGCTATCTCACTACTCACTACTGCTGGGGACCAATGACAAACCAAAATACTAACAGAAGTACTCTGGTTTTGATTTAGTCAATAAGATCATAAAGGTAATGTCTCATCTATTATCAATTGCCTAATGCCTTAGAGTGATTTTTTTTTCAGTCTTGGAGCACCTGGGCACTGTCCTTAGCTTCTTTTGCTCAAGATTAGCACTCTACCATTTGAGCCACAGCATCACTTCTAGCTTTTCCTGTTAATTACTGAGGAACCAAACCCAAGGCTTCATACATGCTAGGTAAGTACTCTACCACTAAGCCACATTTCCAGCCTATAAAATTTAATTGCTCAGAAGAAAATATTATATTAATACTGTACCAAAAAATTTAAAAACTAAAGAAAAAGCAGCTTTTCCCTTTAATTTTTGATTTTTCAAACTAGAGTACGAGCACTATTCAGCAATATAGTCCATAAATAATCTTTTGAGGTTCTAAAATCACACACCTTTCAATTTAAGGATATCAACAGATACATTAACTAGAAGATACAGCTCAAATGAAAGATCTCTAAATTATAGGAAAATTATACTCATTTTGTATATAAAATACATTATCATTGAACTAGCCCACAAATGAAAATATATTAGATAACTAGCAGTATAGTTAGCCCAAATAGCCAAATGAGTATCTCAAGAATTTTTTGTTTGTTTTGGCAGTACTGGGGTGACAAACTCAGGGTCTGGTGCTTACTAGTTAAACACTGCCTTTTGAACAACACCCACAGCCCTTCTTGCTTTATTTTTTTAAAACAGTCTCAAATATTAATTAATTGAGGCTGCCTTGGATTGCAATCCTCTTATTTACACTTCCCAACTAGCTGGGATAACGGATGTGCACTACTACACCCCACTTTTTATTGGCTGAGACAAGGTGTTGTAAAGTTTTTGCTCAGGTTGGCCTAGAACTAAGATCTCAATGTTCTCTGCCTCCTGAGAAGCTGGGATTATAGGTGTGAGCTACCACATCTGGCTCAAGAATATTTTTGAAGCCTTTAAAAAATTATTGTTATTACAAAGGTGATATAAATGATGTACATAACAGTTATAGTTACATAAGTCAGGTAATGAGCACATTTTTTATTTTTAATATGTATTTTTTATTGTAAAGATTCTATACAGAGGGGTTACTGTTATATGAACAAGGTAATGAGTCCATTTCCTATCCAGCATTGCAACACCCTCCTTTGTTTTTCCCCTACCATCCCTTTCCTCCCCACCTCCTCCTTCTCCACCCCCCCCACCCCCACAAAGTTGTAAAATTCATTTTCAACATAGTGTCTTGTACCTCTCATTGTTACAATGGGTCATCCTGTATCCTTATTTCAGCATTTTGTTGTTTCCCTTCCCCTCCCCATTTTAGAAAAATGTATATACAAGATGCAGGATACCGGAATCAAATACAGTGACAACAAGGGTTGTACTATGGGGGAAGAACATACAAAGAAACAAAAAAAAATCACATAGTACATTATAACTACATTAAAAAGAACAAGAAAGATAAAATCAAGCTGGGTGCCAATGGCTCACGCCTGTAATCCCAGCTACTCAGGAGGCTGAGATCTGAGGATTGCAATGCCAGCCCGGGCAGGAAAGTCCGTGAGACTCTTATCTCCAATAAACCACTCAAAAACCAGGAGTGGCACTGTGGCTCAAGCAGTAGAGTACTGGCCTTGAGTGGAAGAGCACAGGGACAGAGCCCAGGCCCAGAGTTCAAGTCCCACAACTGACAAAAAAAAAAAAAAAGAAAGAAAGATAAAATCTCTTGTGCCCCTATCTTGAGATTCATTTTGCTTAGCATCAGGTTAAATGGTCATATGTACATAGCTTTTGACCTCTTCTGCTTGTTCTAGACATATACTAGTTATTGCAGATAAGGGAAACCATGGACCTATGTTTCTTTGAGTCTGGCTTACTTCACTTAATAGAATTTTTTCCACGTCTTCCATTTCCTAACAAATGGGGAGGATGGCCAATAGACACATGAAGAAATGCTCAACTTCTCTAGTCATAAAATAAATGCAAATCAAAACAACATTGAGATTCCACTCACCCCAGTTAGAATGGATATAATCAAGAAATCTAATAACAACAGATGCTGGAGGGGATATGGCCAAAAGGGAACCCTACCGCATTGTTGGTGGGAATGTAAATTTGTTCAACCACTTTGGAAAGCAGTATGGAGGTTCCTCAAAAGACTCCACATAGAGCTCCCCTATGACCCAGCAATCCCACTTTTAGGCATTTACCCAAAGGATCACAAATAGGCCATACTAAAACTACCAGTACAACTGTGTTTGTTGCACCATTATTTACCATAGCTAAGATATGGAACCAACCAACCCAGATGACCCTCAGTAGATGAATGGATCAAAGAAATGTGATGTGTGTGTGTGTATGGTGTGTGTATATATATGTATGTGTACATACATACATATATATATATATATATATATATATACATACATACATACATACACACACAATGGAATTCTATGCCTCCATCATAAAGAATGAGCACATTTCTTTTTGGACAATATTTTTTGTCTTACTTTTTAAAAGCAAAGGTTAATATTAAATGTTTACATACCCAATGTTCCAACCACGACATCCCAAGGAGAGCTAATGGGCTGCTGTTCTCCTTCGGCTCCTCCTTCTTTATCTGTACCTTGAATTCCAACACCAGCTACAGTGCTCACTTTCTCAGCATTTAGGTCAATCTACAAAAATTTAATGGATGCACTATGTTATTTTTTTTCTTTGGTATGTAAAGAATTCCAATAAAACGTAAGTGTTATTTACAACATAATACTTAATGAAAAAGGTTAACTAATTATAGGGGATTGTTATTTAAGTGATTACTATCAGTGATTTTCACTTCCCCTCCCATCCATTCCCTATTTTCTATCTTCCCCTACATATCTACCTGTTGCATACTTCTCTCACGAATGCTACTCACCTCATGTTACTATAAAGTATTTTAAAAGAAAAAACATTCTGAAAAAAAAAAACACGTTTCTTAAAGTTAAAGGTACATATTTCGGCTATTCTTAGCTAACAACTGATATATGCAGGGCTTAATATGCTATGATTTTGATTATTTTAGAAAAAACTGACTGAAAAATAGCTGAGTTTTCTCAAGATCCCACAAAAAATTCTGAAACAAAACATGTTCATTAAAATTAAAGGTATATGTTTCAGTTATTCTCAGCTAGCAAGTGAAATATGTAGGACTTAGTATGCTACGATTTTGATTGTTTTAGAAAAAAAACGGACTCAAAAATAACTGAGTAGTTTTCCCAAGATCCCACAGCTAGTAAGTCAAGGGTCTGAGATTTGAACCTAGGCAGTTCCTTGTTAGTATACTGATTCTAATTTACATAATCTGAAAATGGGATGTCCTGCTTTTTAATCTCTGGAGACCCTTTTCCTAATTTTTACTGTGAAAAATTTCAAGCACACATACACAAAAAATAATTTTGCAATAGTAAAGTTCTATCAGCATTTTACTTGTTTTATTCAACTACTGTTTATATTTTATGCATTTTAAAGTAAATCACAAACACCCGTGGAAAACATCATTGTGGCGTGTTAGACAGGGTCGCATTAAATGGCCAGGCTGATCTCAAAACTCCCAGGCTTAAGTGATCCTCCCACCTCATCCTCCCTAGTGCTGGGGCTAAGGTATACACCACGATGCCCAGCTTACCACCACATTTAACCTACGATTCCTTCTTAACTTACGACTTTCAATACTTTTTATGTGCTTGTAGTCATCCTTATGTATTCTTTGGAGAAATATGTTCAAATCTTCGGTCATCTACTGAAGGTTGTCTTTTCATTTTTCAGTTGTAAGAATCTCTATATATCAGACATTAGTCCCTTAATCAGTTTGGAAAGAAATGACATCTTACAGTTGAGCCTTTAATGCTAATCCTATTTAGTAGCTACTATTAAATTTTCTGAGCAATAAAGCTTATATTTTAAATACTTAAGAATCTGTGAGAGACTGGTTCCAGAATATCTCTATGGATATTATAATCCAAGGATGTTCAAGACCCTTCTATGAAATGGCATGAAGTAGTTGTAGATAGTCTATGAACATTCTTTTAAATACTTTAAATCATGTTGAGATAACTTAGAATACCCAACACAATGCAAATACTATGTAAACAGTTGTTATGCTTTACTATTTATAGAGAATAATAAGAAAAAATGTGTGTCATCCAGATACAGAACCTGTATATACAGAAGGCAGACTATATACAGAGCATACCTATATATGAAATTTATTCTAAATACTTAGGTTTTGTTGCTACCATAGACTAGATTTCTAAGTTTCATTTTTCAAATTATTGCTACTAGTATATAAAAATATCCTCAATCTTCTAATAAGCTGTTTTTTTTTCTCCAACCTTCCTAAACCCATTTCTTAAGAATACTGACTCCCTACAGTTTTCTATATTCATGACATGTCCCTGGAAAATAAAGACAAATATTCCACTCATTATGTAGTATAATTGTTCCCAATTGTGGGGTGAAACCTTCAATATTTTGCATGAAATGGAGCTACATGCTTTGTATGGACGCCCTTTATTAGATTGAAGATATTCACTTCCATTCTAAGCTCCTCTATCACAAATAGGTATTATTCCACATTTTTCCCCATTTGAAACAAATGTATAGTTCTGTCCTTTATTCTGTTACTACATTAAAATGCTTTCTTTTAGTGATACCTTTTTACATTATTTCTTTAGTACTACAAGCTCCTGAGATTTAAAAAAGAAAAAAAATCAAGCCGGGCACCAGTGTAATCCTAGCTATTCAGGAGGCTGAGATCTGAGGATCACAGTTCGAAGCCAGCCCAGGCAGGAAAGTCCATGAAACTCTTATCACTAATAAACCACCAGAAAACTGGAAGTGGCACTGTAGCTCAAGTGGTAGAGCGCTAGCCTTGAGCTGAAGAGCTGAGGGAAAGCGCTCAGGCCCAGAGTTCAAGGCCCACGACTGACAAAAATAAATAAATAAATAAATTTGACCTTATTCTTATTGAATCCATTTAGTGTTGATACAATAGGCAGTTTGGGTTGGGCCTTGAAATAGATCTTGATTTAAAAACTGTATCATAAAAAAATAATATGAAAATCACAGACCACATCTTAAAAAAGCACCAGGCTCAAGAGGTGTTACAAGGGAGTTCTAGCAAGTGTTCAAATTCAGTTATTCAGTGAGGCAAATTATTACAAAATACAGAAAAAAAATAAAGCTGATGATTTGATGAGGTTAGCATGACCTTGATTCTAAAACTACATGGACAGGGTATAATAAATTATAGTCATTTAATTTATTAACATGCATATTAAAAATTACATATAATTTTAGCTAATCAAATCCAGCTTGATGTTCTAAAAATTATTAACTAAAGTTTTTCCTAAGAATAGAATAATAGCTCAACATCAAGAGTCTACTAATAGTCATCACATTGACAGCTCAAGGACAAAATATATTACTATTTTAATTTCAATTAATATTTTATCTCCCAAAGTTACAGCAAATATTAAATTTTTAGAGAAAATTTTCATACATTTCCTTTAAGATTATAGTCATGACAAGATATCCCCAACCTATCACTACTGATGCTTAAAGTCAATGGAGGTCCTAGCCAGCAATATAATAAAAGAAGTTTAAAACACAAAAAGAATGTGTTTCTGAAGACAATTCTTTACATAAGAAACAACAATGGCCTTTGGCATAAATGAACAAATGATTCCAAAAATTCATACAGACTTGCGAGGGATACAGTATAGCCAAAACAATCCTGAAAAAGAAAATAGAAGAGCAAATAGACTTTCTGATTTAAAAACTGAGTAAAAGCTAAAACATTTGAAATCATATGGTACTGGCCTAAGGCCAGACACTGACCAGTGGAACTGACTTGAAAGTCCAGAAATACTCAAGAGAAACAGAATACTCAATTCAATACATAGTTCTGGAATAACTGGATATACACATACAAGGATGAAGTGGATCCTTACCTCACACCCTAGCTGAAAATCAATTTTAAAAGAATGAGACTTTTTTAGGGATGAAAAGATTTACTAGAAAGCTTTCAGATGAAAATACATAATAAACCTTTGTAATCTTGAATTTGGCAATGAATTGTTATATATTACATTGAAAGTTAAGCAATTACAGAAAACAGACAAATTCATCATCAAAATTTAAAACTTTTGTCAACTTTCAAGGGATTAGAATAAGTAAAAAGACAACTTGAGTCAGGTGCTGGTGGCTCATGCCTGTAATCCTACCTACTCAAGAGGTTGAGATCAGAGGGTGGTGGTTTGAAGCCATCCCAGACAGAAAAGTCCCAGCAAGACTCTTATCTCCAATTAACCACTCAAAAATGGGAAAGTGGTGCTGTAGTTCAAGTGGCAGAGAGCTAGCTGTGAGCACAAAGAGGGACAGCACCCAGGCCTTGAGTTCAAGCCCCACAACTAACCAAAAAAAAAAAAAAGACAACCTGACAAATGTCAAAAAAAACACAAAACTTCAAATGCTCTGATAAAGAACTTCTACTGAGAATATACAAGGAATTCTTACAACTCGGCTGTTAAAAAGATCAATAACTCAAAAAACAAGTGAAGAATCAACAAATCATTCTCAAAAGAAGAAATACAAATGGTAATTCTTGACATTTTTAGTCATCACAGAAATGCATCAAATTCACAGTGAAATGTCAGTTCATATCCAGTAGAAAAGGAAATAACAAGTGATGATAAGTAGAAAAATTGGAACTACATACAATATAGAACGTTTACGAGCAATATAATATAGAACAACTCAGGAATCCTGAGTTGTACTAAAATGTATGAAATAAAATGCAGCCTCATGGTCAATATTCCAAAGCCCATTAAGTTCCAAAGCAGGAGAACTAAAGATGACAAGCACATTCAAGGGAACACTGAAGGCTAGCAGCTATCTTATTACCTTAATACATGGCTAAATGTCTGTAACATTCTGATGCATTACAAAAGTAACTCCCAAAAGAAATGATAAAGAAATACTGCTTTTTAAAAGCTTAATAATAACAATAAAAATCACTTTCAGTAAAAGAAACCTTAGTCCAATGAAAATCAATGCTAAGTAAGTCCCTACACCACTAATATTCAATAATCTGTGAGTCAAAGACTTTTTAAAAAACACATGTACATAATACCTGTTTTTACCAGTAGGAATATATGTTTTATTAGATATCTGTTTATCAATTCATTTAACAAATATCTACTGAACACCTTCCATAAGCCAGTCTCTATTCTAGGTGTTAGAACTTCAGCAATAAAGAACATTTTTGCCCACCTGGAGATTCATAATGAAGTATATATTATATATTTTATGTATGTATTTGGTACTATACATATATTAGGTGACACTGTTAAAATGAGGCTACATGTCAACACTGAAAGAAACAGAAAAGCAAGGAAGTATTTGAAATAACGTATTTATTCTACAGGATGGATTAGAGGAAGTTGGTTACTTATTTTCCCTATAACATCTTAAAGACCAATAGATTATAGACAAAATTACTACTGGCAGAGAATGTTTAAAATAACAATAAAATATGACTATCATGTCATTTATGTGGTTAATATAGAATTAAAAGAAAGCCTGCAAAAAACACTATATGCATATACATATTCAAATGGAATTGGTGGCTAGGGGAAATTTTTTACCTTTATGTATGAATTGGTGTTTTTTAAACAAGAAAATACACAACTTTTAACAAAATGACATCAATTTTATATTAGTTAATTGACTTGTAATATTTCCAGCCAAAGCATAAGAATTGAAGGGAGGTAGAAATATACCATTTTTTTCCATATTTGAGAAAATTTAACAGAAAAGGATAAAGGATCACACTGTTAACTAGTGACTAGGATAATGAGTCCGCTCAGAATGAGCAGACTGGGGTATTAGTCATATGACTTTAAGACAAAGGATAAAAGAGAACTCAATAGGTTTTACTTCTGTGGCAACTACATACTCACAGAACAAACAAGCAAGATACGTAAGAATTAAAATTAAAGCAAGTTCCTCTGGAAAAAATCTGAAAAAGACACTTTGACATACTTAAACATGGCCATTTAATTTCTAACATTTAAAGCAATACATAATTATCAGGGTGTTTTTTTGACTGATATATTAAAACTTTATCTTAAAATGAAAAATTACCTTTCTTTTTTTTTAATTACCTTTCTTATAAGGTGGTTTTCAGTGTCTGCCACATATATAATGTTATCCACCATTGCTACACCCTGTGGAGAGTTAAAAGATGATTCTGAAAATATCCCATCTTTTCTTCCAGGATTAGGTCCTAAAAGACAAGATAGCCATGAGACATTTTTCCTTAAAGTGAGTACAAAGTAAACCCTTCCAAAGCAAAAATAAATCTATATTTAATGCTGAGACTTTTTTAAAGTAAATAACATGCTATTGCTTGCTCGTTACTAATCATTAAAATACTTCCCCAAATACCTATTTTTCTCAAGAGCAAGTTGTATTAACGACAAAGCTTACAGTACAATAGTTACTAGAGTGTTTCATTAGCACTTATCAGAAGCAAACAATTTTAAAAGTACTTTAAATACTTCTTACATAAACTAGAAATTTAAAAGTAATTTCAATCTTATATAGTATCTATATGCAATGATTTTTTAAATGATTTTGAAAGACAGGCTCCTTTGAGTAAAAAAAAAAAAAAGGAATTATATACTTTTTCCCTAGAAAAATACACATACTTAAGAGTGCTGCAAACAATCCTAGCTCTGACAAACATCCAAGCATTTCTTGAGTCAGGACGCCCAGGCTAGGCTGAGGATGCAGCTCAGCGGTAGAGGCTTGCCTGGCATGTCCAAGGCCTGTGTTTGGTCCTCAGCACTACTTCCCCACCTACCCCCACAAAAAAAGAAAAAAGAAAAACAAACAGGTTAAGATTCCTTCCTACCTATTAATTCACCTTGTCATACAGTCCAACAATATCTCATACACACTTTAAGAAAGATAAAGAGTAATTCTGGTCTAAATGGTAACCTATATCTCCCTTCTTGCCTTGGCTGTAATTCAGTCATACAGAGTATACATTAAAGTGCCTTCCAAGCAAGCATAAAGGAAAAAGAAATTAAAATCCATACACACACATATTTGATAAGACAGTAACTATGACAACCTTTTAGGAAACAAGATGGGACATACTGATACATTTTAAAACTATATTACTTAATCATTCCCTCCTTTTGAGATGGAGCTTTGTGGGTATTTTTGTTGTAAAGAGTTCAGATACTACATATTAATTAACAAAATAATTCTGTAATAAAGTTACAAGCCAAGGCAAGTCAACTCTCTATATTTACTTCAACTACTACTTTTACACTGCAAAACATGTCACAGAACAATTAGCAAACATTACCTCCAATACTGTATTGAATTTGGCCATTCTTCCAAACGACCAAAATTCTGTGATGTCCAGTATCTGCTATGACCAGTCTATTGGATGCACCATCCACTGCCACTTTGCCAGGAAACAGCAATGGTGATGGTGGCAAAGTGTCTTTGTAGAGTCTTATTCCAATCTTCTTATCTCTGATCTGCCCCCTGTCTTTGTAATACTTTAGAGCTATTGAAGTATACAAAAACAATTTATCTTTGTGTCCCTCTCCAATCAAAGAAAACAACATGTTTCCGCGGGGTCCAAGAATGACCAGAGTTGGCCAGCAGGAAACTTCCAGTTCTTGCCAAAGGCTGGCATCAGCATCATTAACCACAGGGTGTGTAATATTGTATCGGAGAACAGCACTCTTAATGTTTTCCAGGACTTTTTCATTTGGAAACTTAGCTGAGTGAACACCAACAACCAGAAGACCATCTGAAAGGGGAAGAACATAAATACTATAAAATACTAAATACCACTATCTATGCATTAAATTTTGGGTCATTAATAGAATCCATAGATTGAAAAATAGAACTACATTGGTATCTTTAACTGCATTAAAATACACATATAAGTAACTTAAAAAATTTAAACTGAATGACAATTTTGGTTTCTATATAAAATATATGATCAAATCCATATACTATTGCAGGATTATAACTATTATGCCTTTTAGAGAGATAAAGCTATTTAAAAAATATAATCTATGGGCTGTGAATATATCTTGTGGTTCAAGTCTCGACTAGGACATGCAAGGCCCTGGGTCTGATCCATAGCACCACCCAAAATAATAATAATAATAATAAAATCTGTTGTTTATTTTGGTGATACTGAGGTTTGAACTCAGGGTTCTGAGGTTGTTAGCAGGTCTTCTACCACTTGAGCCACATATACAGCCCTTAAAGTCTACTGTCTAATGAAAATGTTTCATTTTTTTCAACTTTCAATAAATCATTTAGAAATTCAGAATGACTATGACTACATTTTCTTTTTGAGTATTTATTATCATAGTATTCTCTTAAATTTTCTGACCTAACTTTCATCGGAGATTAACAAAATGATTATAATCTGTGTTCCCATAAATTCTTCAATTTATTTAAAATTCCCATCATACAGTTCTTAGAACAAACTTGTGAATAGAACTGCCAAAAATTTAAAAAAATTATTTCTTTTACCTAATCAATACCTTATTTCAAGAAGTTAGCTGGGTATGGTAGCCAATGTTTCTAATTCCAGTTACTCAGGAGGTAGAGATCAGGAGGATTACAGTTTGAAGCCCACCCAAACAAATAGTAATACCTCTATCTCAATAGACAAGCTGGAACTGGTGGTATATTCCCATTATCCCAGCTACGAAGAAGGCATAATTAGAAGGATTACAGTTCAAGAGCTATAGTTTTAGTGGTAGAGAGCCTACCTAATCAAGTGGAAGGGTCTCGGTTCATATCCCAAACTACTTAAAAAATGGAGAAGTGGTTGGCTGGGTTTGAATGAAAAGCTCAATATTACTACCAAGGTAGAAGTAATAAATTCAAACATACCTATAAATATACCTATCAAACTACTCAATCAGCATGAAGATCAAATAAAACCACACAATTTCTTCAAACCAAAACAAAGGCACACACACGATTGTTTGAGGGTTTAGTGCACAAAAGTGGGTAAATTATAGTAGGGTCAAACTGAGAAAATCCTACCATATGATTGTAGGGTTCTAGCTGACCCTCTAATGCCCCTAGTTATGTCCTACTGTCATGCAGATGGCTAAGATTCCATCTGCACTGCTAGCCCAAAGAGCCAGGGAAGCTGGAGAGTGTGGAAAAAGCCATTCTCCACTTAGGAGTTCACATACTCTCCAGGCTTACTAGCTCAACCTCTAAACACCACACATGAGACAAAACCAAAAATATGTAGCAAATGCTTAGACAACTGGGAACTGAATTACTGAGTTAACAGGAGAGACAATGGAAGATGAGTAGAACTTACCAAATGAATGACTACTGAAATAAAACTATCAATATTCTCGACTGGACTGTAACAGAACCCCAAGTCTATATACAGAACATTTCAATGTTCAGTAAACAAATCAAAACCATCTGACACTTATAGAGCAAGGTAATGTAACTTACTATCAAAGAAAAAAAAAACACAACACCATAATCAAAAGACATCTGACAAAACCCAGAACCTATTTTATTTGGCAAAGACTACAGCAATTATAACTGTGCTCCATAATAAAGGAAAATATATATGAGATGAATGAAAAGACAGGAAACATAAACAGAAGAATAGTGACCACTAAAAAAATTTAAAACCTTAAAACTGAAAATAAACATTTGAAATAAATTCACTGAATGAGCTCAATGGCAAAAAGGCACAGAGATCAAAGAACCCTTCAGGTAGTGCAGGAGAAATGACCCAAGCTAAAGAACACACAAAAAGGAGACCGAATGAAATGAACACATCAGTCATCTGTGGAATAGTCTAGACAGCTACAGTGTAAATGCAATACCAGAAGGATAAGAGAAAGAAACTGAAGCAGAATAATGCCTAAATTTCCAAAATTTGGTTAATGATTTAAAATCAGAGAATTCAGGGTCAACATATGGCAAATAAAACCAAAATTTCAAAACATGTCTAGACACATCATAATCCAACTGCTTAAAACTGAAGATTAAGTACAACAAAGACAGAGAAAAAGATTCCCAGTGTGGGTGCCTGAGGACTGGAGGGGTGTGGTGGGAAGGAGTGGTGGTAAACTTGTTGTAAAGGATATTCCTTAACCTCTCTCATTATGTTTTCTCATCTGTGACATGAGAGAAATGTCAGTGACTGCCTCCTAGGTCAGGTAGACTGAAAAATTCACATAAGGCATTTATAATAGTGCCTATGTGTGTAGAAATACCTCAACAATTTGGTCATTACCATTTTTTAAAGCTGTTAAGTACAAAGATAACCAAGTAAGAATACAAATGTCTATAAATGCTAAAAACAGTATAATAGAGTAACCAAAGAAATCCCATATTGAGAACCAGAACAAATGTAACAATATACATAATATTCAGATGGTTATACACAATATTCAGATGAATACATATGAATGGGCTGGCTCATCCATTAAACAAAAAATTATTTGGACAAACTATGTAAGACATTCGTCTAAACAAGAAAATCTAAAAGGCTAAAGATAAAGAAGTAGGTAGCAAACGAGCTCAAGGAAACACAAGCACTGCAGGTACTTCAGTTTCTCCCTCAGCTTCTCTAGCGCCTGAGCCAGGTGAGTGTCTAGGTCCACAATAAATGCACGAACACAATAAATGATCTCATTAAGCAAGCAGAGCCCTACATACGCTCCAATTCATGTTCTATTTGGTCTTTGCCTTCTTCATGTATCTTCTTTTTTAACTACCTTAACTTGCCATCTGCAATCTGAGCTCCTGGTCCCAGAAGCTACAGCTCCATACTTACCTACAATTATTCTCCTACTACTTCTCAGTACTCTTAGTTGTTTTGCTTCTCAGATCAGATCAGGACTAATACACAAACTACCACATCTTCATCTTAGTCGTGACTTATATATACAAAATCTTCAACTCTCATGGGCAGTTTTCCTAGCTACCCCATATTGGATGAAGCTCTCCTAACCAGAAAAGGCACATGTGACAGTATTTTTGAGTTCTTGGATAAACTGTTTTTTATAGGCATTAATGGACAAATGATTGGCTGTGATAGTCCTGATTTGCACATCTTTAGACTCCTGAAATGCTGCCTGGCCTTATGTTATTTGTGAAGTCTAGTTTATGTCTGTTTGGAGGTCTCAAAGTCCTTTTTTTTTTCCCCCAGTCTTTGAAGTCTAACAGTTTTATTTGGGCTAATTTTCCCTGATACTCAACATGCCCTTTCAACATGTAGATTCAAATTGCTCTCATTTCTACCACTTTTTTTTTTTTTTTTTTGCAGGTGGCCGGGGAGGTGGATTTTAATTACAGACATTAGTTTTGGTTGGTTGTTCTGATTTTCTTGAGGTATCCAAGTAGTCTTATGTTGGCCCTCTTTTGCCTGTCTGCCAGTGTAATCATTTTCTCCCTACACTTTTTAAACTTCTTTGTTTAGCTCAGTTTCATTCTCAAGGTTTTCCTCTCTGCTTTGTTTCAACTGTCCCTTACTACGTTCCATATGAGTTTATTGTCCCCTGAGCATTTTGTAATTCAGTTGTTGCTAATAAAATTTGGAACTTGTTTTTCTTTCTGGAGTTCAAACAACACAAACATTTTTTCCTTTTTTTCCTCCTTTTTAATCTATTTCTTAGTTATACATTCCTGATTCAAGTCAATTTTCATTATTCCTAAATGCTGTTTGTAGACATTGAATCCAGCAAGGAGCACTGTGTTATATCATGTTCTTTGGTCAATTTTGTCACTTTTTAAATGAATTTTTTTTAATTCAAATTTTATTTTAAAGATGGTGCACAGAGGGGTTGTTACAGTTAATAAATCAGGTAATGAGTACATTTCTTTTTAACAGTGTTACCCCCTCCTTCTTTTTCTTTCACTCCTCTCACCCAAGTTGTAAAATTCATTTCCAACATTAAATGCCTAGAGTATCACTGCTGAATTGGTTTACCCTCTGTCCCATTGTTTCTATGATTCCTCTTCCCTTCTCCAAATAAAATAAAATTATATAAGACAAAGGGTACAAAAAAACAACAACAAAACAGTGATATCAGGGAATAAACCAAAGGGAAAAGAAATAGCTGCAAACAGTACAACAAAAAAATCTTCATTTTCATTTCTTGAAGTTCATTTTGATAAGCATCATTTTATATGTTCATATACACATAGCTATTGAGTTATTGGGGTCCTGAGAGTTTTCGTGTAAGCTTTTTACATGAGCTTTGTCATGGATGGGATCTGCTTTGTTCCTCTTCATTTATGGGCACGGTTCCTAGTTTGAGAGCGCCCTCTTCTGACAGTTCTTTTTACCGTGCACCTTCACTTAGGGGTAACATCCTCGAAGCCAGGGGTTGGTAGGCCTTTCTCTTTTGTTTCTGCTGGACCCTCTTCTATTTTATTTACTTCTGTCCTTACAGAGGTCTGGCTCCAAGGAAAACCACATGATGATCGCCCCAAAACAGTGCTTCTCTGAGATTTCTAATTTTAGTCTTTATCGTGCTAATAGTTGGTGCTATGATGTAGTACATCTAAGTCTTTGCAGAGTACTTTGAACTTTGTACTCGAGTTTCTCTTTCTGGGGCAAAGTACTTTGCCCAGTCCTCCAACCATTCTTCTTTCTTCATGGAGCCTGTGAAGCTTTCTGTTCCTATTTTCAGCACCCACAGACTTGATGTAGCAAGTCTTTTAATTGGAATGTAGTTTTTCTCCAATCACATGTGATATAAAGGCCATGTACTATTCTGTCTTCTAGTACTGTGAATG